ATGTTGTTTCTTCTGTCTGAAATTTACAAAACTGATCCTTTTAAAAGGATGATTGAGGAGCTGGAGTGTCCTCAATCACCTGGAGTGGTGACTAATGCCACCCCCCATTATGCTTTTTTTCTTTACAGGTGAAAAATGTCAGCAGGTTCATTTATTACATGAACTTGGAGAAGCCTTCCTTGGGATTTGTCGAGGAAAGAGATAAAACTAAGTTGTTCCTCTATGAGATGACTGAGGTAAAGCTGTCCAAGCAGACGCACATGAATTACCTAAAGAGTCTGAAGAGGTTGGTGGCATGTTTTGTAAATTAGTAGCATACACACACACACACACATATATATGCATATACATGTGTGTGTTCGTTTGTGCGTGTATATATAAACTTTAAATATGTGTACTTCCTCTTTCAGACTCCTGAAATATCATACTACAAACACTGACCTCAGGTACTTGAATGAAGGACTGTGGAGCGACTGCATGTTCTTCACTGAGTACATTGGCTCACCCCAACAGAGCTGTGCCAAGCTGGTGAGCAAGGAGATTGCCCAAAGGAGGTAAGTTCAATTGTTCGCACCCATGTAACTTGTTGATTTGGTGATACGTTTTGTCTTCTCTGCCTCTAGTCTTTTCTACCACCCCTGCTGTTCTCAATGTGCGCTACCAGGACACCCAAAATCACCAAGAAATCCTGCTTACCCTACTGCTTGTGACGTCCCTTGACCGTAAGTATTGTACAGTACTCTTTTTGTTACCCATCTTAATGGGCTATACGATACGGTCATCTGTGTGAAGTAGCAGGAAACATCCGTACAACGAGGGATCCATATCTCATAATCCATATTCTCTGAGGAGGAGTTGGTAAGATCATCAGAGTTTATCAAATTTATTTCACATTTCCAGCCAGAATCAAGCAGGGCCTGTTCAAAACCTCAATTTTCCCCTCCAAGCCGGCTGCCAGCCAAAAGCCAGTCAAAGGGAGGTGTGCCTAAATTTCGTCGAAACACGCCCATTTATTCAGTTGCAGGGTGTTACAATGAGATGGGACTTTCTTTACAAAAATACATTTTAGCTGTGGTCACAAGTTTACATACACAAGTACAACAGGTATCAACCAGAATCTTTTAGTAGCCATTAGCACGCTTCTGGCATAATTTTGGTTGAATATTTTTGATCACTCTTCTTTGCAGAATTTCTAGTTCATTTAAACTATTTGGGTTCCTGGCACGGACCCGGCTTTTAAGCATAACCCACAAATTTTCAATAGGTTTGAGATCGGGGGTACTTCACAAAGCAGGATTTCTTGCTTAGCCGAATAACTTGTTGGAGTTAAGGTAAACTGAAGGCACAGCCAAAGTTTTTACAGCACCAGAGACAAACTGGGCTAGGTACTTGGCTAGCAAGCATGCCAGTACATACTAATCCAGCACTATGATATTATACAGTACATACTAATCCAGCACTATGATATTATACAGTACATACTAATCCAGCTCTATAATATTATACAGTACATACTAATCCAGCTCTATGATATTATACAGTACATACTAATCCAGCGCTATGATATTATACAGTACATACAAAAACCCCTCGGAAGTGCAAAGCATGTTCTGTTCTCTGCCTTCAACCAGACAGGGACTGTTTTGAAGCTTGACATCCTGATCAGGAGTGACAATTTGTTGTTCTAATTTTCATTTATTGTTTTGTATTATTCCCGTAATATAATGTGATTGCACATTTTATTCATCAACGTTTAATCCGTTGCATGCTATAAACTGTAAAAAGGCTAATATTGTCTCTTATCTTACAGTTTTTTTCAATTGCTAAGACAGGGTAGTATCTCTTCACATGCATGAACCATCCTTGGCATTGCTCTTAAGAAATATCTTGGCATCCAGCATTCATTGTTTGATCTTGTGTCAATTGACATAATTTGTTTATATTATGTGGTT